AGTTGAGAGAAACGTTAGCCGTTTATAGTGTAGGTGGATTATGCGCAAGACATGAAGTACGTTGGATTCATCTGACAGTTTCGAATTGTAAAACTCTACAAGATGGATTAGTCAAGCCCGCATTGTGAGCTTCCTTTTGAGTCCAGGATGCCAGTTCTTGAAAATTGGGTAGTAGCAGGGCTAAAGGAGTGGGAGTGCTTCTCTGACTTCTCGAGGAACTATATTCTTCAATATTTATAGGCGAGTCGCACCCCAGATAAATTCTCTTGATAAGTAGCGAAAGTGTGGGAGCTTCGCCGACGACCACCACTCTCATCTCTATAGACAAATCCAGTTTCGGCGACCTGTGATGGCCGGATGGGTCAGAGTATCGTGCTTCTGATCAGGTAGCCAGCTGGGCCGCGAGTGGCGAATATTGTAACGCCATGTATAGCGTAGCAAATTAATTTTTGACGTGCAGTCAGTCAAAAAACTGTCAAGGACGACCGCAATACCACACCCCCGATAATAAAAAGGACAGGTCTAGATCGGTACTTGTATTGTCGTCTGTAATTGTTAGACTGTATGGCCTGCTAGTAAGCCAAGTGAAGGTACATTTCCAGCACTTGTATTCATATTCAGATAACCGGTCTTTTTATAAGACATAAAGTGCGCGATCAAACCTTTTTGATTCGAACTTTTATTGAAGCATTACCAAACGGACGGGTTACACCTGCAACACCTTTCGACTAAATCAACAGTACTCTACCGAATAAAAAATTTGTTCTGGTGTACCACAGGGATCAGTCTTGGGACCCCTATTATTTTCATTATATATATATATATATATCAGATTTAGAAACAGAGGTAAAATCATGCAGCATACAATTTTTTGCAGACGAAATCAAATTTTCTATTCATTTAGGAGTAATGACCTGGAAACAGCAATAATAAAATTAATGAAGACCTAGCTCAAATTTAAAAGTTCAGTAGTAGTCATAATCTTCGTTCCAACTCTTTGAAGACAAATATGCTGATATACACAAATAGAACGAAAAAGAATACTTTAAAAAAGACATAGACATACATTAAAAAGGTGATAAATTAGTCCCTGTGAATCATTCGAAGAACCTAGGTATTATAATGGATGATGACTTAAAATTTGTTGTACACGACGTAAACTATCTAATTTCACAGTGCTACGCTATTCTCAGAGTTTTATTTTCAATAAGGCTATATTACATAAATCTGCGAGAAAGCAATTGTGTGAATCTTTCTTGTTTTCAAAGATATCGTATTGCTTGGTGATTTACTATCCCTATTTAGATATTATAACAAAAAATCGTATTCAATGTATTATTAATACATGTTGCAGACTTGAAAATGGTCTCAGTAAGTATGATCATATATCGAATGCCATTAATGAACTCAAATGGATGAAAATTGATAAAATGTACCAGCTCCTACATCTGACTCATAAGGTTCTTTATTCAAAAACACCGTCATATTTAGTAAAAAAAAATCATACGTAGAGGGAATATGCATGGCATTAATATTAGATATAGAGAGACTTTTTCAATTCCACGCCACAGCAGATCTCTATTTCAGAATACATATATTTATAATGCGATCAAATCATATAATTCTATAGACCGTAGTTTAAAAGAAACCAATCCATTACCCAAATTCAGAAAAAAGTGAAAGAAGTTCTACTTGATCATCAGCGAAATCTGTTGTAACCCATAAGTGGCCTCATATTTTCCGTATGCTTTACTTAGATTATATATACTTTATTCTGTCGTTATTGTATACAGGTACCTATAAGGGGGTTACATCGTAGAATAGATATATTATCTAAATCTCGCCTACTGTAATAATATTACAAATAAAAGACGTTAATTATTAGTATTATATACATCGATGTTGAACTTGACGCAGTCAAATTAGAGCAAGTGCACACTGGAAAAGGCAGATTCACGGAACCGTTTTCTTGATAATTATTTCCTGCATTTCCATGTTTCGAGCGGTAATTTATTTATATAATGACGCTCAGAGAAAATTCTAAAATTTGATTAGTACAACTGCTGAGTTCATCAGCTACGTCGTTAAGTTTTATTTCACTGCCGCCACTATAAAACATCCTCAGAATCCACATCGCTATAGCCTATTCGTAGTTCATTTACGCCCCGGCACAACAAAGATGCAGCGCGGCAAAGCGGCAGCCGCTTAAGCGTTGCAATAGCTATTGGTCATTCGGCTTTAAAACTACGAACAGGTGCAGGACATTTGAATCTTCAGGCAAAAGAATTGTCCTATACGTTTATAGGAGCGAAATTTTAGAGCACCGTGAATTGGAAAATCATGATAGCGAACAAAACAGGCTTATGTCCTAAGAAAATTTTCAACATTGTTAAAGAATAACAGAAAACAAAAAATTGTCTCCACCACACACTGCATTACTTAAAGCTGTTGGATACAGTTGATAACTTTGATCGGAATGACATCAGACTCAAAGTCCATCAATTTTTTGAAAGGCAGGAAGTTTCCACCATAGTCAAAGTATTACAGGAGGTTGATAGTAATGAAGACTTCCTACTTTCAAAAAGTCCACATTGTATAGTCTACTCAAGGAACTCCACTTTGAGTATAGAAAACAAGGTAGATATAGTACTTTGATTGACAGACAAGAGATTATTTTATGGAGAAGAAATTATTTAAAATCAATAAAGAAATACCGCGACCAGGGCAGGAATGTTTATTGCTTGGATGAAACCTGGATAAATGCTGGAGATACATAACCTAAAGTATGGGCTGACTCTACAATCAAATCATCAAGACAAGCCTTCTTAGATGGACTAACCACTGGCCTGAAGAACACATCAGGTACGTGTATCTAACCAATTCGTCATTTGTATTGTAAAAATGGCGTCAAGTAGACTGAATCTATGAGCCCACGCTGAAAACTTAGCTATATCTGGTAGATTTGAAACCAACACCTGTTAATCTACTTGTATTATTATTAGTTTTCTTTAATACTATATGAAATAACTATTTTCAGGAAAGGAAAACGATTTGATATCTGTCACGTTGTCAGTGAAAATGGTTTTGTGCCCACTGCCCTATGGACATTTGAGTCAAGAAAACGACCGACTAGTATGAAGGGATGGACGGGAGTTCATGTGAACGATGGTTTGAAGGAACGCGCTCCCAAAGCTTGACGACAATGCCGTCATTGTACTTGATAATGCTGCATACCACAGTAGAAAACCAAAAAAAAATTCCAAAATGTCCAGAAGAAAGGCATACATTCAGCAATGGCTCCTATTTTTCAATGCAAATATGGTCAAAACAGAACTTATCCATCTAGTCAGACAGCACAAATATAAATATAATCTTAATGTTCTATGAAGGTGTCAACAGAGTAACCGATATTTAAATTGAGCCAGTAACAATTAATACCTATTAACCATTCGGACGGTGATACAAGTGCTTCCAGCGAATAAAGACTTGTAAAAAGTATGTGCACTTCTTTATATAAAAATAATCATTTATTTTGTTATATTATTCTAATGCCATAGAGAAAAATATGGACCTGTACAATCTCGCTTTTGGGCATGTTGTGTTTTGTCTGGCGTAAATGGACTACGGATGGGGTACACAACCTTAACTGGTTTCTTGAATATATTCCATTTAATCGGTTTTGCGAAACAGAAGCCAGGTATGTACACATGTTTTGACTTGTTTAGATGTGTTGCAGCCTATATATCTACCCAATGGCCGATATACATAGCGGATATACCGATTCTGTCGGCCTTTGAGATATGGATAGTGGCCTATTATCGGCATCGGTTATTACAATAAAACACTTACTACGGATTATCTTATTATCTCGCTTTCAACAATTGAGTCCCAATCCCAAACGCCTAGACACTTCTGTCCTGCGTAGTTCTCATCAACCAACTGAAGCATTGAGAGGCTTAACTTGAATCCATGATGATATTCGAAGGTTTACTCACCAACGACACAGTTATGATTAGTCCGTGAGGAAGTATCCTTATACACACAGAGATATTTACAATTTCAAAAACCCTCAATGAAATCCTTCAAAAGCTTAGAAACATGTTAAGCTTATGTTATCACAGCCGTTCACCATGTCCCTTAGTTTACTTTATGTAATAATGAGCGTAGCTGCAAATGACAACTAAACAATGGAATATTAGCTTTAGTGTATCCTGGCGCAATGCATATAAATACCTTCATTAGGCAACAAAATCGGAAATTAAATTGGACTATGTGACGGCTTAAAATTTAATCTACAAGAACAAAGTTATATGAACGGTTTCATTATAGTTTGCAACGTGTTAGTTTCATTGACTGACACATTGGACTATACTCTCGGAATTTTTGGATCGCGTAGTAAACTTATATGGTGCGACATATCCCTTATTTAATAAAGAATTTATTGCATATTATCACTGGTAAAAAGAAAATGGATGATGAGAAATAGTACTAGGTAGGTAGCACTACTCTAGTAGTAGGAAGATGAATTGATGTGGTGGACTCATCATCCTGAATTTCTCTGCGAAATATTCACAAAAACGGAGGTTTTAAAATCTTTCAGAAGGATCCAACAGAATTGCGGTGCTTGTAAAATCCACTACAAATGCTACAAGTAATTGTGGTATAGTCGAAATCACGAAAGATCACGATTACGTCATTATTTTATTCTGTAGTAAAGACAAACGACAGCCATTTGTGAATATTTTTAAATGAAGGTTCAGATGTGTTAGACAGAGACAAAAAAAATTTTATTGTCTAAACAAGTAGTATTGCTGAATTGCATGTATCCGATAAAGACAGACGATTTTTGCATGTTTCATGATCGATCACATTTGAAAGATGACAAGTGAGGTTATGTCATGTCAGCGTGTTGACAGTTCGTTGCAGGTTAGGTTGTTTTCGAACAATACTTTGGTCGTTGGTGTTCCTGTCTTGAGGTGTATTCTGTTGTGTGCATAACTGTTTTTTTCAAAACAAAAACTCCTCATAAAAATTATTATTAAGGTAGAAACTAAATAATTTCCAACATAAGAGCATCATTTAAAACTTTAATTCTAGTTTTCGCTATGAAAGGCAAAACTCTTAGCTCTCAATCACAGGGCTTGGTACTATCCTTACTGAATTATTTTCAAGACAAGGATAATGGAGGGCCTCTATTACTATTGTTAGCTGTCCAAGAGGTTTGTAAAAGATAGAAATATGGTCATATGATTGACAATTTATTCTATATTATTTTTCAGAGGGTGGCTCAGGCACTAAGTATCAGTTTGTCCACTATTACCAGAATACAGCGCCGTTTATCATCTAATGATAATGTTCTAAGATCACCTGGAAAGAAGAGACCCAGAAAAAAGTCTAAGACAACAGGCACAAATTACACCAGAGGTTTGGAAAAAATGTGTGAAGCATACCCATGATGTAATTTTAGAGTGGTACAACAAAACTATTACTCGTGAAATAGAACCACTGATAATCTCATTTGATTCAGATAGCGATACTGAATTTGACAGTAGCGATTAATTTTTAATCTGAATTTGACCATAAGTAATGGAATAACATATTGAAATGTACAATTTATTTTATTTGATATATGTTTTATATAATTTTGTAGCTTATGCTAAATGAATAGTGGATGGCATGACATGAAATAGTACAAAAATATTTTCACTTTGGTATGCTTATTTGTGTTTGTATTTTTTTTATAAAATAAAACCATGTTCTCAAAATCAATTGGTCGTTTTAATGGAGCTGATACCAATGTATTATTATGATTTTGGTAAGAACTCTAGGGACTCAACAATATTAGATGAAAAATAGGTTCAAAATACGTACTATTATTGTGAACAGAGGAAATGCTGTTTTTTTTTTAATGAATATGTAATTTTATTGCAAATAGAAGTCTTAAAATGTAAATTTGTGCACGGATAATGATATTTAAAATCATGAAATAGAATAAATAAAAATAATCACTGAAATCAGCTAGCTTCGATCACATGTTCCTGACATCGTAACCTTATCATCGACGTACGTCCGGTAATTATTTCGTTACAATTTATGGTATGACGTAATCGTCATCTTTCGTGATTTCGACTATATATGATGAACGCCTATCTACCTACAGTTTCCATAATAACGACCAGACGGAATGCCCCTGCTACCTTTATTGTTTTCTCATTCTGCTTAGGTTTCCGTTGGTATTCTGGAAACGGAAATGTTATAGCCACATCTACGTCAAAGTAACACAATGATATTGCATGCCACCGGATGATTACAGGTCTTTACACGGTACTATAGGGTATTTACGCTTCGATTGCAGGTTTCTTGGTCATACGAACGCGATACGCAACATGCAACTCCGCTGGGTTGTAATTCTCCAGTCATTGGGTCGTGTACGGTTTTTTCTGCTCTACTCTGTTTGCAGCCTTTTATGAAACATTACATGCAACCTAGGCCAAAACGGCAATATAGAAATGAGTCATGGGAGTGGCTTCAATAAATTCAGATAAATTTAGAGGCACTCCAGCAACCACGGGTGAGCCAGCGCATAGGCTACATGCTGGCCCATTTGTATCTTTATTTCTCTATTCCTCCAGCCCCGGTTTTTTTAAAAAGTTGAGGCCTTGAGTTCCAGCTCAATTCTGAGAATCAAAAGCATTGGAGCCCAGTATCCTGCATGTAGAATCTTAGAAGCCAGTCTCACTAGCAGTCTTAGGTATTTTCTGCCCAGAGATAAGCAAAACATCCATCCTTAGCACCTGAAATGAACTACCGTATCTGCCGAAGTAACCTCGCAGGTACTTACTGCAATGATTTGTGGCCTGGCTGTGTGAGCAACTCTAGGCCCAAATACCCCTTTAGTAACCGTGCGGTCCGTGTACCAGACCTGCTCACTTTTCTCAAATACCTTGCGGCCCCGTGATACTCTTTCCACTCTGGTCAGATACTGCAAGTCGAATTTGAGATTAAAGCAATCCTTGGGAGTGATCAGATAACCCTTGCTCTTTTTCAAATCTTATAAATTACAACGATGTTTGAAATCATAGCGGCCGATTTTTAGACTTAGTTTTAGCTAATTTCAATGTTGAAGTGATCAGGAATGACTTACCGCTAATTAGGGAGGATTGGCATCATCCTGCTATAGTAATCGAATCCTGTGTTGGTGACACTATGCAAGGACTTGAGTTTGGTGATAAATCAAAATAAAATTTTCGGCGGACAAATTACGAGTGTATTGATATGTACAGCGCATTTTATTTACGGATTGGTCCCCAATTCGTGAAATGAATGATGCAAATGAAGCATATGATAATTTTTATTCAATCATCTTTATTCAATTATTTCAAATATAAGAGAAAGGAATAGGTTCAGGAAAAAGTACAAAGCAACCCATTCAAGCCACTGTTTTTTGACATTCAAAGAACTTCGAGCTATGATTGAAAATCATATTATAGTCCCCTATTCAGCTTAGATTCAAAATGCTGAGGATAGGATCAATAAGGCTCCCACTAATTTTTCGTCATTTGTAAATGCAAGAAAGAATAACCCCAGAATTCCAGGGAACATGACGTTTAATGAAAACACTTGTACCTCGCCACAGGATATAGTCGATGCTTTTGCAAATATTTTTTCAACTGTGTTCATAAACTAAGATTCTTCTAGTTCTGAGTTCATGACTTCAATTTTGAATATATCTCTGACCACTGTAAGTGAATCGGATATGATTCATGCTTTCAGAAAGTTAACGAATAAAATGACTTCAGGCTCCTAGTTTTTTTAATAAAGGATTGCATTCATGTATTGGCGAATCCGCTTTGCACGATCTACAATATGATATTTTTAACAAGCTCTTACCCTCGTATCTGTAAAATGACCAAGGTAGGTCCTGCCTTTAAAAGTGGCGACAGAAGTAATATTTGTAACTATAGGCCGATCGCGATACGTCGGAATTTTGGTTGAGGTTATAATTTATAATACCATTTTCAACTCTATCAAATGTACTTTTTCTGCTAACCAGCATGGTTTCGTTGCTGGCAGATCAACAGCCACGAATCTGACCTGCCTAACTCAAACTGTCTCTGAGGTATTAGATGATCAGGGTCAGTTGCATGTCATTTATACCGACATTCAAAAGACCTTTGATCAGATAGATCATCACTTGCCTCTTGCTAAGCTTGAATTGATTGGGTTGTCTAAATCTTTATTGAAGCTTATCAGATCATATCTATTTGACAGAAATCTGTACGTTGAGTTTGGTGGTTTTAAATCTAATTCTTATACAGCAACATCTGGAGTGCCTCAAGGATCCAATTTGGGTCCTTTGTTTTTTGTGTTGTTTATCAATGATCTGCCGCTAGAATTGCCTAGTATGTATTTACTTTATGCTGATGACTTAAAAATTTATACTGCTATTCAGAGCTATCACGACTGTATCTCTCTTCAAAACAGCTTGAACTTGGTGAATCTTTGCTGTTCCAGAAACCCTCTCACGATTAATGTATCGAAGTGTAAAGTTCTGTCTTTTAGTAGGAAGCAAAACATTATGATTATAGTATCAATGATCACTTACTCGAACGAACAGACACGTTCAAAGATTTGGGTGTTGTATTCGATGCCAAGCTGACATTCAAGGTTCACATCACTCAAAGGGTGAATTCAGCGCTTAAGATGCTAGGCTTTTTTGTAAGTAATTCGTCAGGGTTCTCAAATATAGCAACTCTAAAGCTTTCATATTTTACATTTATTACTAGTAAGGTGGAATAAGCTTCATTAATTTGATCTCCAATCTACAACAATTCAAGGGTTAGTCTTGAATATGTGCAGCGTAAGGCTTTAAAGTATTTGTATTACAAATGTTATGGCAATTATCCTGAAATAGGTTTCGACCATTCTATTTTATTAAACATTTTTGATATAGAGTCATTGCATCTTAGACGCGATATATCAGCGCTACATCTTGACTGTTCATTCATATTAAGTGTGCCTAGGTTGGGAAATCGTGTTCAAATCACTTTCTATCCAGTTATTGGTAATGTAATGTCTAGCTCTCCGGTAAATATGATTTGTACATGTTTCAATTGTTTGCAGTTCCTGTGACTTATTTTTTGATAGTGAGAACTTTGTTATGAAATGCTACAGACACTTGTACCTTTGTCAGTGAGACTTAGTTTTTTCTTTTTTTTAAGTTTTTCTTTTTCTGTCTCCAGAGTTACCGCGTTGCTCATTATGTAACTTTTTCTTGTATTTTTTCTGTAATTGGGTGTGACCTGTTGGCAATAAATAAATAACGACGGGATCCTCCCTTGAAGTCGACTAAGATGGCAGTGTGAGATTTATCAGAGTGCGTAAGGGTGTGCCTGCTCCGTAGTCGCAGTACGATCACTCTCGTCTCTCCGTGGATCACTAGATTCAATAATCGTAATACTAGTTAAATCCAAATGCTGAATTTGGTTATCCTGTGCTTCAGCTATCTCTGCTCAGACGCAGGGCCATAAATCCAATGAGCCTTACAGAAGAGATCGTTGTGCTATAGTCGTGTAGAGCCAGTACATCGCTTAGGGTTTTAGACCCTACCTCACTCCGACAACCCGTCTACAAACCCACAGTAGTCGCGAGCCTTCATACTCTTCTATTCAACATGCTCTCTCCAATTAAGTTAACAGTTAGATATATAACATATATTGTTAGAATCCTTCTAATAGAACAACCCATAACTACTATGCTTATGTGGTCATTCTTGCACATAAACTCCCATATTCCTTAGCCTAATGAGGAGATCACTCAGCATGAGGCTCCATAATAGGTGTGATCGAAGTCTGCCTCACGGACAGCCACTTGTACCCTGAAAGTGACTTTCTCAACGAATCCTTACTAACAATGAATAAACAGTGACTAAGAGACTTTACACACAGAACTCTGTTGCCTTGGTTGGAAATAGTAAAACAGCTTCGTGAACAACATTTTAAACCTGTTGCTATTGTAGAATGGTGTAGGGAATTACATCTCAGTTTAAGATCTTATGTCATTCACGCACTTTTATTTTCAAACAATAAAAACAGTAAACTTCCTGCCGAAAACCTTCATGGGATTAAAACGTTTGGTCGTAACTGTATTGTGTGTTAATTCCCGTTTGTTTCCATGTTTTCTTCGATTTTTTCGTCTCGTTTTGGTATGCAACGGACAGCGGCTTCGACCCAGTTCCAGAACTTTTAGGAGCGAAGCATATTCAGCCTGCTGCTAGAGGTAAAATGAAAAGTAAAATGAATTTACCGTTGCGCAGCACGATTGTAGAGGCAATTCGTTTTATCATTCATGCCAGAGCAGTCACAAGGTAGTTTCCTTTGGAAAGCATCTCGCCAAATTGCTGACGATGTGCCACTGCAGCTATAACAATGGCTTTCTTTGAGCTACATACAGGGCT